TTAATTAATAGATACAGCCTTGGATTTGATTACCAGTCTATGCCAGGAAATTTGGAGGATAGCTGTCTGGCCAATGAATTGGAAGAAGTCCATATTTGTTTCCATTCCCAAGAAAGGTGATCCAGCAGAATGTAGAAACTGTCGAATATCACATGCAAGCAAAATACTGCTGAAGATCACTAAAAAATGGCTCGATCAGTACATAAATAGGAAACCGCCTGAAGTTCAAGCAGGATTTAGAAGTTGTAGCACCAGGGATATCATTGCTGATATCAGATGGATCCTTCTGAAAGTAGAGAATACCAGAAGAATATCTATTTGTGCTTTATTGCCTATGCAAAGGCATCTGACTGTGTGGATAATAAATAACAAGTAGTGGCTGACAGCGAGAAGAATGGGAATCTCAGAGCACTTAATTGTGCTCATGTAAAACCTGTACCTGAACAAGAAAGCTGTTGTGTGAACAGAGCAGGGAAACACTGCATGGTTAAAATTAAGAAGGGAGTGGGTCAGGGTTGCATTCTTTCTCCATACCTATTTAATCTGTATGCTGGGCAAATTATTTGAGAAGCTAGACTCTATAAAGAGGAATGGAGCATCAAGATTGGAGGGAGACTCATCAGTAATCTGCAGAAGGATGGAGGATGGACAAAGGAGTGGAAGACCATCGACTGGGTGGATTAACGTGGTGACTGCTGCAATGGTCTCTAGTGCATCAAGGAGTGAGAAGATGGCATAGGATAGGATGGGGTTCAGATCTACTGTTCATAGGGTCACTATGAGTTGCACGTGATTCAATGGCACCTAACAACAACAACAATTAAGTTCTTATAAATTTTATTTAGTGCAATGCTTCATAATACCTGATAAACTGCAATTGTATGAACAAACTTGTTAGAAGGAAGTGAATGAGTGTATTTTGTTAAGCAGCCACTGGCCAAAGTTGTCCTCTGGGGACCTTTCCATGTAGAAAAGAACAGATGAGTGTGTTCAGCTTCTGGCCAATGACTCTGCCACTGTCTATTCTCCATACATTCTCTGAGAGGCAGTGTTTGTCCTAACCAGCCCCAGCTGTAATTTCTGTAGCTCCATTTGGTCCTGCTGTCTTACTGGACAGTATCAGTGCATTCGATCTAGACTTAAGTTTTACACTGAGTACAATTACAGAAGGCCCAGTCAGGACGGGATGAAGATGAAACAACAAAGGGGCTCGGCATGTGTGCATTGTTCCAAGGATTTCTGAGGCCGAAAGAGTCCAAAGATTCCAAGTCCAAAGATTCCCACTCTGACCAAGTGTGGGAACTAGAAGACAGCAGCACAAAATCAGAATGTCACAATTAATCCTCTGAAAAAGGCTAAGGCATTCATATTTCTTTCTTTTAAGTAGTCTTTGTATATCCTACATTAACTATTATTTTCTTTATACTGTAAAGTTTATCCATCTTTACAGAAAAGGAAGGAATGAACCAGCAAATGGGCCAGGGGAGATATTTGAGAGAGGGCACAACTGACTCCAGTGTGTGTTCCAAGACTAAAGATGATCTCTCCAGACTCAGCATCTTGTTCCCTGCAGTGAGGCTCCAACCATACCTTTTTTTTATTTCTCAGTGTGTATACCACATAGCCCTACCCACCCACCTTTCCTTTTAGCATCCCTGGGATTATGTGTACACAATTGTGCTTAGGACTGGCTGACAAAGGAGCTCTATTTCTCATATTGGGAGCACTGGGGAGTGGGCAGAGTGATAATTGATTGTTTGTTGTTATTTCCCAAGTCTGGAGCTCTTTATAATTCTGTTGTTCAGACTCAAGTTTGCGCGCACACACGTGTGTGTGTGTGTGTGTGTGTGTGTGTGTGACCTATTTTAGAGCAGTCTCCATTCAGGCTGAGAAGGTGCCAACTTTGCACTGGACTTTTATGAGCTATGCCTCTGACTATCCTGTTGATGCCAGCTGTCCATTGATTTCTTTGCTTTAGCACAACCTTCACTTATGATGTTCTAATATGGATGTGACACCATCTCTTGATTTTCCAAAACAAATTTCAACATTTTTGTCTCCCTGCCCCCAAGTAAGAGTAGTTGTGTATGTCTGACATGAGTCCCTACTTTGATTTGAAAATTCAGGTTATCTTAGGTATGAGGCTAAAGGAAGAAGAGAGAGAGCATATTTTGAGCATCTATCGTGGGCTCTGTGGTCACACACAGGAATACAACATAGATCGTTCCCAGGCAGCATGAAGTTTAGGGCCAGGAAACACAGTTGGGTAAAGAGGTGCTAGAGAGAATCTAGGACCACATTATGGCACACAGGATGAATGCACCCTGCTCTCCTGCCCTCTACGGAATTCAAAATTGTTTTCCTTTTAAACAGTTTTCTCCCTCCTCTGTTTCAGTGCAGTATACATTATTGAACCCATCTTACTCAGTCTCTCCCCAACCCCAAGGACAGTCCCATTCTACAACAGTGGCATCATGTAATATTTGTTCTTTTGTGACTGGGATATTTCACTCAGCATAATGTTCTCCAGAGTTAACCATTTTGAATAATATTACATGAGTTCCTTGTTTTTTAATGCAGCATAGTATTCCATTGTGTGAATATACCACAGCTTCTCTAGCCATTCGTTTGTTGATGGGCACTTAGGTTGTTTCCAACTCCTTGCTATTGTGAACAAAGCTGCAATAAACATGGGTGTGCATATATCTGCTTGGATGTCAGCTATGGTCTCTTCAGGGTATATTCCCAGTAGTGGAATTGCTGGGTCAAATGGTATCTCTATTTGCAACTTTTTGAGAAAGCGCCATACTGCTTTCCACAGGGGTTGCACCATTTTACACTCCCACGAACAGTGAATCAGGGTTCCAGTTTCTCCACAACCTCGCCAGCATTTGTTGCTTGCTGTTCTGTTAAATTTTGCTATTTTGACTGGGGTGAAATGATATCTCATAGTTGTTTTAATTTGCATTTCTCTTAGGGCTAGGGATTTTGAGCATTTCTTCATGTGTTTGTTAGCCATCTGAATGTCGTCTTCAGTGAAGTGCCTGTTCATATCCTGTGCCCATTTTTCTATTGGATTATTTACCTTTATCTTGTTGTGGTGCTCAAGTATTTCATAAATTCTGGATATAAGTCCCTTATCTGATATGTTATTACCGAATACTCAGGGTGAAGTCTCTCTCAGGGAGGAGTGATAGGGAATGGCAAAGGACACACTGACAAAGAAGATTAATCAGAACTGGCTTTGACAAGCACTGTGGCATTTGGACAAGAACAAACTGGGAGGAGGGTAGAGAGAATAGTGCAACAATGAATGAATGGAAACCCAAAATCTCTGTAAATGTTTATGAAAATTAATAAAATATAATTATAGAAAAAAAAACACCAAAAAAAAAACACCAAAATTGTTTTCCTGCCTGGACATAGAGCTGTGGAGCTGAGTCTGGAATAACTTTTAGGGAAACTGGAAAATGGACAATGGATACAGCATATGCAAAACACAGAGGCAGATGTCTATGGCATTTGATAAAATGTAAGAGGAAAGGCAGCTAAATGAGGAGAAAGAACTTTGAGTCAGACAAACCTGAACCAAAACTGGATTTGTTCCTGGACAAGTGACTTCACCTGTCTGTAAATTCATCTTTATGTCACTGCAGTAGGACTGAAGCTAGGATTCCATCAAGAGCTCAGTGTGTGCTGCTCATGGTAGATTTCTGGTAAATGATAGCTCCCTGGTGTCAGACCCCGTATCTGAGAGTGGAGTGTGTTTGGGGAATCATGACAGGAGACAAGTCTAGAAAGGTGAGTATGATCAAGTCATAAAGTGTAGTTCTTTGGAGGCATCATGGTCTTCTCTGGAAAATGTAGTGAAATTATGGGTCTTATTCTAGAATAATACACATTTACACAAAAACACCATACCATTTAAAGGTTGTTTGTTTTTTTTTTAAAAAAAACCCACAAAAACTCTTAAAGTGTACCTGTCGATTCCCTTCTATTAGCAGTGGAAGCCATGAGAAAAGAGTATTGATATCACAGTTACCTAGAGATTTATGGCTAACTGGAGTTAATATTAGCCTCTATGCTTTTGTTCAGTTGGTGAAATGAAGCAAGCTAAAGTTTGTAGGGGGCAGGAGCAGTCTGTCAGCGAGGTAAAACAATGTTTCCCACTGAGAAAAGGGACATAGTCTGGGTGGACCATCAGGTAGTGACGTTCAATTAGTAGCCAGACATCTGGGCTTGGAGCTAGTTGAGGAACCTGTACCAGTTTAAGTAGAGAGCTTAAGAATCTTCAGAGGATAGATGGCAGCTGTAGGTACAACTATGGATGAAGTAACAGAGAAAAAGAGAGACTATTGCATGTGAGAAACAGAGGGCAGAGCTCATGGGGGCCCTTTCCCTTGAAAGGAAGAACAGGCCTTAAAGATAAAGATGAGTGGTCAGAGAAGGAGAGGGCAACCAGGAAAAAGCAATGTCATGGGAACAAGGAGATCCTAACAGAAAGAAGTCAACAGTGTCCAGGGCATCAACAAGGAAAGCCGACTTGAGACCAAGAACTTCTGTATACAAGGCTAACTAGAGCCACTGCTGTTGAGTCCTTTCTGACTTAAGGTCACCCTCCATCGAATTTCTGAAGCTGTGCACCTTTAAAGGAAGAAGCTGCCCAGCTATCTTTTGTGGAAGAGCTAGCCTGGTTGGTTCAAATTGCTGACCTTTGGGTTATCAGCCTGCTGTGCTGAATCATCAGCGTTCCTTTCCAAGGCTCAAGGAATAGGAAATTAGTAAGGGAAGTTGCACAATCACGCACAGCAAGTGGAGCGGCTAGCACTGAAATCTAGTTGTAATAATGTTGAGCAATCAGTGTTTGAAGGATAGGCATGGGGGGGGGGTGCGCATGCGCATGCCAAGTGCAAGGAAGACTTGTGTATCATGTTATCAGGCAGGGAGGCAACTTCTGAGTAACACCCCACATACTCACTTTGTGGTTTGCTTATTTTTAGAAGGGATCTCTTCACAGCCACCCTGCTGAAAGCGGCCTCAGAAGAGCACCATCTGAACAGGACTACGGGAGTCCCAGGTTTCTCTCAGCTCCTGGAAACTGTGTCCGGACAGAGGCTGCTCCTGGCAACCTCTACAGAGAGCCGACTGAAGTTACCTATGCCGAACTGCATGCTGAGCCGCATGACTACTTTAATGTTCTGAGTTACCGAAGCCTGGGAAGCCTCGGCTTCGTGGTAGAGACTGGTTAGCTCCCAGAGCCAGCTTGTGGAAAACACGTTCCTTGCTTTTGCTGTGATGGACTGGTATCTGAACATGCACCCTCTGCAGCACTGCTGTATGTGTATGTGGCCTGAGCATTGAATATGTTTCCCTGATGTGTGTGTGTGTGTGTGTGTTCAGTGGAATGAATAAATGTCATTCCTTTCATTTTCTTCATTTCCTACACCCTGTCCATCATTTCACTGTGGCAGGCCCTGGGTGAGTAGCATGAATCCTGATCATGACTGCAAAGCTGAACAACAAACATATTTGATCTATCAGGTACCCAGATCGCGTGCTGCTGAGAAATAGTTTCTTCTGAACATTATATGCAGGTTTTGAGGGTTTGTGAATATGATGATGATGTAACTATGGAGCTATCCTTGTCTCATTTCTTCCCTGTACTGTTTGTCAATACTAACTTATTCAAGACATTTTGTGAATAACGTATTGCAGCAGGATCAGTGGAGAGATTCAATGATGACAGTAATCTCTGACCTCTAAGATACCATGAAGAGGGGCTTTATGTGAAAAATAAATTCAGGAAGTGATTCAAGATGCAAAGCACAGACCTTTGGGAGCAGATGTTGGTTTGGGGCAAGGTGGTCAGTGTACACTTCTCTGTGGTGAGGTGATCTGGGAGGACAAGGTGGGATTTAGATAAAGGAAGAGAAAGGGAACTTTAAGGCTGGTCCAGCTGGGAGCAGAACGTTGCCTGGGAAGCTTGAACTTGTAGGATATAAAGCTGGTGGGAACTAAAAACCCTGTTCTAGAGATGGACTGTAGCACCAAGGGAGCCAGTGAACCTTCAGATTTTATTCTCTGGTCAGGCAGTTTCAGGTCTTCTTGGGTGGTGATTCAGAGTCCTTTGATGGTAACCTGGTAGAGAAGATTCTAGAAGGTCAGATTAGAAAAAAAAAAGGACTGTCAAAGAAATAGATTGGCATAAGTGGGCTCAGACATAGCAACAATTGTAAGGATGACAGAGGCCTGGGTCATCTTTGGTTCTGTGGTACATATGATTTTTGTGAGTTGCCACCATCTTGGCAGCACCTAACAACAGTAACAATGGCAGGCGTTCCCCTAGTGTGCACTGGGAAAACAGAATACGTCCACCTGAAGAAGCTTCTTCGTGTTATTCCTGTTCATAATTCACCTTTTCTCACGGAGACTTTGAAAGAAGGATCTAGTTTTCCACTAAAAAAAGAAAATCAGGATTTTTAAAAATTATAAATTCTTCCTAGAAAAAAGGGGTTATTAGATATTTTAAAAAGAACATGCTCAAACTATCTTTTAAGAATTCTCTAATTCAACCCTTGCCCTGTTCATATTAGTACGGGCACATCTGGTCAGGTTATTTCTGTTCAGCTGGTGTTCAGGCTGAATCTTACACTTTCTGTAAGAGGAGAGAGAAAGGAGGCTGGCTGTGCGGGTGACTGAATTAGGCTGGATTAGATAAGAAGATAGTGCTAGTCTGACTCTTCCCTGGGTTATTTGTTCCCCTTACTTTTCTTCAAAACAAGTAGGTAGTTGGGGTCAGTAAGCTGATCAAAGCTCCAGGTTTTCTAGAAGAAAAATAGATGCATAGAGAGCACTACTATTTTGTAAGGATTTATTTTATTTATTTATATTTTTTTTAGTGCTAATTAGTTTGAAGTAGAACAAAATTCACGAATTAGAAATTATTAAAATGTTATGATGACGACAAAATGGTATTTTGGTTTAGAGGAAATATATGTTGGGTTGATGCTGAACTAAGAGTTGGGTGTCATTTTAAATAATTATAGTCATTGAGAAACATTTACAAATGCCATTGTAACTCAAGGTGGTGGCACAGGGTTTCAGAGTAAAACTGTGCTCTATAGATTTTTAAATTAATGAATTTTCAGAAATAAATTGCTAGGCCATCTTCTGAGATATCTGTGAAAGGACTCAAACTTTCAACATTATGGTCAGCAGCTGAGTTTGGTACCTCTTTGTAATACCCAAGGACTCCATAGCTACTATTACAATGGTGATAAAATATGAAATGGCCTGTAAGTTTTAGAAATGGATCAAGATAGCTAATACGATACTTCATTCAACAAAAAGAAAAGATCATATCAAATTCATTACCTTTCATTCTTTTCTGGGAATGAGAGATGTCGATCTCTAAAAAGCCAGGTTCTTAAAGACAAATTCTGTCAAATGTGGTAGCCATTCTCTGTATGTTTCTGGAAGTGTGGTTGGTCTATATAAAGGCATATTGCTTTATAAAAGACATACCAGATTTGGAAGAATTTAAGGAACCTTTAGGGGCATAGTGCATTTCACTGCTGACTAAAAGCTTAGTGGCTCAAATACACCAGCTGCTCCATGGGAGAGAGAAAGGTAGTCTGCTTACGTTAAGATCTAAAGATTCAGACACAGACTGGAGGGCTGCTATGACTTGACTTGCCATAGTCGACGCTGACTTGACTCTGCCGTAGGTTTGGTTTAGGTTTTGGGAATAAACTTATATAGTAATTATGAATATGGAAAATAGGATACTAGAAACTAAGCCTGGAACAGGTATTCATTTCTTTTAAGTGGATGTTGGGGGTTAATTTAAAAATAATACAACTCAGAACAGGTTTGGTGGTAGTGGGTTCTGAACATCTAATATGAATAATAAAAATGTAAATCATCTCAGTAATTTGTTAAAATATTAATATTGAGTTAAATAAAAATTTATTGTTAAAATTGATTTACTCTGTTTCTTTGGACTTACATGATTATTGGAAAATCTAAATTGCATGTGTGGCTCGTGTTATAATTCCATTGGCTTGTGGTGCTCCCTTCGTCAGGACCAATATGGTGCCTGGCAAGGAGAGGAGTCATGTTCATTTCTATCTACTGGTATTTTTCTATTTCTCATTCAAAACAAGGTCTGAGGAGGCTTTCCTCTTTCATTATTGCTTCTGAGAAATGTATAGGAAAAGAGCACAAAGCAGATCCAGGTTGGATCACTAGATACAGACAGGTCTTCTCTTGACTCTCTTGGGTCCCCTTGTGGATTCCTGAGCAGAAGGAAGAGAAATGAACTGTTGAATTAAAAGTTTGAGGAGCAACAATGAATGAATGGAATTCCAAAATCTCTGTGGATGTTCATTGACATGAAAAATAAATAAATAAATTTAAAAAAAGAAGTTTGAGGAGAAATAAACTTACTGACTTTCTGGTCTTTATAACTCCAAATATGCACCTAAGTCTCTGGAGTCTGATCTGTAGTAAAGGAACCAAACAAATGGGAGGAACATTAAATGATGGACCTTGGAGATAGATGGTCTTGTGTAATCTTCCTGTGTGATTTTATTTCCATGTACCATGTGATCCCACAAGAGAATTATTATAGGCTCAATTTAACACAAATTCCATTGGTGTGAAGTGGATAAGGGGGGTTGTACGGTGTACCTTGCAAGAATGACAACATTCTGCTGTGTGCACCTGCCCAACAGATGAGAAAATTCTATAGAACAGCTGTGCCTTCCAGGTGTGGATTGTGGGCTTCCTTTCCTTTTCTGACTTTTCCCTGTCTTACTTCATGGCTATATCTTGTTATTGTTATGTGTTTCATGTCAACCACAACTCAGAGTGACCATATGAACAGCGGCTCTGATCCTGGCCCTATCCTGAGCCATTTTCACCATTTCCAGCACACTAGAGCCCACTGACGCAGTCACTGTGTCAATCCATTTCATCCAGGGTCTCCTTTCCTGCACTGATCCTCTACCATTCCAAACATGATACCCTTGAAAGCATGTGAGATGGAGTTTCAAAATCCTTTCCTCCAAGAAGCAAACTGGTTTCAACCTTTCCGGAATAGACCTATTTATTTTCTTAGCAGTCCATGATATGTTCAATACCTTCTTCAGCACCACAACTCAAAGGCATAGATTCTTCTTCCGCCATCCTTAGTCATTGTCCAGCTCTCAGAGGCATAGCAAACAATTGAGAAGAACAGGTCTTGGATCATGTGCACCTTAGTCTTTAAACTGATATTATTTAACACTCTGGAGGGGTCTTTGACAGTAGATTTTTCCCAATGCAACTTGTCTTTTATTTATTTTATTGCTAGTGTCAAAGATGTTGCTTATAGATTTCAACAAGATGAAATCATTAACAACTTCGATATTTTCTCCATCTATTATGATGCTACCTAGTGGCCCAGTGGTGAGGACTTTTGTTTTCCTGATGTTGAGATGCAATACATATTGAAGGCTGCAGTCCCTGATCTGCCGCAGGAAGCACCTCAAGTCCTCCTCAGTTTCAGCAAGCAAGGTTGTGCCATCTGCATAATGCAGGTTGTTGATGAATCTCCCTCCACTCCTGATGCCATATGACTATGTTTAGTAATCCCTATATCCCATCTGGGAGAAGTTAAGAAGCCAGGGTGGCCTTATGTAGGACAGGAGACTGAGCTTCTTGGAAGTCAAAACCATATGCTTTGATGTTTGGTAGGATTTATTTTCATAAGATAGTCTAGTACAGTGCTGGCCAACAGAATTTTCTGCAATATTGGAAACATTCTGTGTCTATCCAATATGTTAGTAACTAACGACATGTGACTTTTGAGCTCTTGAAATGTGGCTAATGTGACTGAAAATCTGAGTTAAAGTTTTTTTTATTTGCTCTTAATTCAAATGAAAATAGTGTTGTGTGAGAGGTAACTAATTTGTTGGGCATTTCATTTCTAGTAATTGCCTTGCATAATAAAGAAAACAGAGGAAGGCGTTTTAGAGATGTTATGTATTTGAAAGAGCTACCACCAAGAGGAAACATGGATTTTTTTTCTTCTGCTGTCCTTCCTTTGATCAAAATAAGGCATAAGGTCAGAAGATGGCCATCTATTTGTTTATTTAAGGCACTCATTGTAAGTCATTTGAGGCAGCTAAGGTACAAAGTTTATAAAAGCATGCCCAGGGCTGTGAAAGATGTTGAAACTCATAGGTGTTGTGCAGGAATAGACTTG